GTCTGGGTTTCAAAGTCCAAATTGTTGCTTAGAAGCTTATTGCCCAATAAAGATCCCTATAGCATCTTATACGATTTCCTTACAAATTGGAAGAGATCACAAAATTTCAGTTTGTTGGTTTCTGACAAAGAAGAAATTGTCTAGAGAAATACTGGTGAGTGGTGACAAATGTTCCAAATGGACTAAATGTTTCAGAATCCGTGGGTAGTTGTTGGAAGAAAGGAAAGGAGTTCCTCTAAACTCAGTCAATGTTAACAGGGATTCAGACTGAACAAACTCACTTAAGGGGGCATAGAGGGAAGATTAGTTCACCAAGCGTGTGCACAATTATGAAATACTTTTGGAAATACATAGCTCTTGTGATGTTTATTCTCTGGTCATTATGTTTTGAATCAATATTCTGTTGTTAATGTTACTGATTGTTAGAGACTGACATATTTTAATTGGTGAAGCACTTCTCGAATGCTGGATTTCCTTGCCCAATCATGCAAAGTCCTTCTGATCACTTCTTGCGTGCTATAAACACAGAATTTGACAGGATTATTGCAATGTGCAAAAGCTGGCAGGTATTTGCTTATAAGCATTCAAAGTTCCACGTCTTTGCTTTAAAAAACTCAATCATAATGATCAAAGATAGGGATTGGTTTGTTGATTAGTAGTAGTTAGGATGTTGAAACAATTCTAACTCGGTACATTGTGCCACCTCTTTTCTCCATGTTCATGCTATTGTTTTATTGCACCGGGGTAAGCTCTTTGAAAGAGGAACGGGAATTTTTCTTTTATTTAAGATGCAAAATGAATGTTCAAAGATTTTCTCACCTGTTCTCTGGCCATCCTATCCCCTCCTGCTCCCCAACACAAAAGGGAAGATTTTCCTTTAAGTTTGTGATTTTATCATCTCAACAGGATGACCATGGAGACTTATCATCTGTGAGCATGGATACTGCTGTTGCTATACGTACCCTTGAAGCAACCTATAGATCATCGGCAGACGCTGCTGCTGTTGAGTCA